TATTACTCCACAATACTAACCTAATTGACAGAGTGAAAAGAAGGAAGCATGTACAAAATACAAATATTCCAAAACATGCATCCTGTTTGCAACAAGGCACTAAAGTAATACTGCAAAAAATCTGGCAAAGCAATTAACTTTTCGTCCTGAATACAAAGTATTATGTTTGGGGCAACATGTCATTTGGCTATGTACAGTGTTGTAACAATGTGCAAATAGTTAAAGTACAAAGGGGAAAATAAAAAACAAATATGGGTTGAATTTACAATGGTGTTTGTTCTTCACTGGTTGCCCTTTTCTTGTGGCAACATGTCACACATCTTGCTGCTGTGATGGCACACTGGTATTTCACCTAATAGATATGGGAGTTTATAAAAATTGGATTTGTTTTCAAAGTCTTTGTGGGTCTGTGTAATCTGAAGGATAAATGTGTCACTAATATGGTCATACATTTGGCAGGAGGTTAGGAAGTGCAGCTCAGTTTCCACCTCAATTTGTGGGCAGTGTGCACATATACTGTCTTCTCTTGAGAGCCAGGTCTGCATACGGCGACCTCTCTTAATAGCAAGGCTATGCTCAGAGTCTGTACATAGTCAAAGCTTTCCTTAATTTTGGGTCAGTCACAGTGGTCAGGTATTCTGCCACTGTGTACTCTCTGTTTAGGGCCAAATAGCATTCCAGTTTGCGCTGTTTTTTGGTTAATTCTTTCCAATGTGTCAAGTAATTATCTTTTTGTTTTCTCAAGATTTGGTTGGGTGTAATTGTGTTGCTGTCCTGGGGCTCTTTGGGGTCTGTTTGTGTTTGTGAACAGAGCCCCAGGACCAGCTTGCTTAGGGGACTATTCTCTAGATTAATCTCTCTGTAAATGATGGCTTTGTTATGGAAGGTTTGGGAATCGCTTCCTTTTAGGTGGTTGTAGAATTTAACTGCTCTTTTCTGGGTATTAGCAGGTATCGTCCCAATTCTGCTCTGCATGCATTATTTGGTGTTTTACGTTGTACACAGATGATGTTTTTGCAGAATTCTGCATGTAGTCTCAATTTGGTGTTTGTCCCATTTTGTCCCTCACAACCATTATGGGCAATGGGTTCTATAACTGATTCAAGATTTGTTCCTTTTGATGGTGTAGAAAGCCCTTCTTGCCTAGTCTTTCAGATCATTCACAGCTTTGCGGAAGTTACCTGTGGTGCTGATGTTTAGGCCGATGGAGGTATAGTGTGTTGTGTGCTCTAGCGCAACAGAGTTTAGATGGAGTTTATATTTGTGGTCCTGGCAACTGGACCTTTTTTGGTGAGATTTACTGTCAGGGCCCAGGTCTGACAGAATCTGTGCATAAGTTCTAAGTGCTGCTGTAGGCTCTCCTTGGTTGGGGACCGAAGCACCAGATCATCTGCAAACAGTAGACATTTGACTTCAGATTCTAGTAGGGTGATGCCGGGTCCTGCAGACTGTTCTAGTGCCCTCGCCAATTCGTTGATATATATGTTGAAGAGAGTGGGGCTCAAGCTGGATCCCTGTCTCACCCCACGGCCCTGTGGAAAGAAATGTGTGCGTTTCTTGCCAATTTTAACCGCATACTTGTTTGTGTACATGGATTTTAGAATGTTGTATGTTTTTCCCCAACACCGCTTTCCATCAGCTTGTATAGCAGACCCTCAAATCAACAAAGCATGAGAAGACTTTGCCTTTGTTTTGTTAGTCAATTAGGGTGTGAAGGGTGAATACATGGTCTGTCATGAGGTAATTTGTTAAAAAGCCAATTTGACATTTGCTCAGTACATTGTTTTCACTGAGGAAATGTAACAGTCTACTCAATGATAATGCAGCAGATTTTCCCAAGGTTGCTGTTGACTCATATTCCACAGTAGTTATTGGGGTAAAATTTGTCTCCACTTTTGTGGATTGGGTTTATCAGTCCTTGGTTCCAAATATTGGGGAAGATGCCAAAGCTGAGGATGATGTTTAAGAGTTTAAGTATAGGCAATTGGAATTTGTGGTCTGTATATTTTATACATTTCATTTAGGATACCATCAACACCACAGACCTTTTTGGGTTGAAGGGTTTGTATTTAACAGAAATATGCAACTACATGCAAGAACACGTCAATAGGATCTCGTTAGCTCGTGCTTGGTTCTGCCCACTGATTCATTTAATTTGCTCCCATTGGAAACAACAAGCTGTGGTCTATCTTGGGTTAGTTATAAAAATCTTCGGTACAGTACTGCGCTGCCATCTAGTGTTTGAAGACAACTTGGGTGTATTCATTAGTTGGATTCCCTTTAAAAATATTTTGTCTGAAACCATTCACTCTAGGAACCTACATTTACATTTTAGTCATTTAGCAGACACTCTCATCCAGAGCAATTAGGGTTAAGTGCCTTGCTCAGGGGCCAGACAGATTTCAAACCTAGTCAGCTCGGGGGATTCGAACCAGCGACCTTTCAGTTACTGGCCCAACGCTCTTAACCGCTACCTGACTGAATTTGTCCAATAGAAACTAGTTTGTTGCTAAACGTTTTCCATTGCAAAACTTATATTGTTTAAAATGTAGTCATATGTACAGGGTTGCATATGGAATTACACAAGCTCCAACACTGCAGGACAAGGTGAAATAAAACAATACAATAAAAATAATATATGCATACTAAAACTGTAGCAATGACAAATGTCCATTGGGGTGGGGGCAGGCAAAAAAGTTAGTTGGGGGGAAGGTAATGTCCACAGGGGGAGTAGCAGGAGGAAGAAGGGGACAAGGTAGCTGACTAGTGGTGGCTATTCCACAGCCTGATGGGCTGTGGTATAAGTTATTGGCCAGTATTGCAGTACTTGCCATGATGCTCCTATACTGCATGCATCTGAGTGATGGAAACGGGGAAAACAGGCCATTGCTCAGGTGGCTGGGGTCCCTGATGATCTTCTTGGCCTTCCTGCCACATCTGGTGTTGTAGGTGTCCTGGAGGGCAGGCAGTGTGCACCCAATGGTGCATTCGGTTGAGCGCACCACCCTCTGTAGCACCTTGTGGTCCGTGGCGGTTGAGTTGCCGTACCAGGATGTGATGCAGGCCGACAGTTTACTCTCAATGGGGCTCCTGTAGAACACTGAGGGCCCTCTGGGGCAGGCCAAATTTCTTCAGCATCCTGAGGTTGAAGAGTCGCTGACATGCCCTCCTCACCATGGTGTCCGTGCAGTTTGACTATTTCAGCGTCTAGGAGATGTGCACGCCAAGGAACTTTACGTTTTTGACGGTCTCCACGGCAGCCCCGTTGAGGATGGGGGCGTACCCAGCTTGGTCCCTCCTTTGTTTTGCTGACTGATGGAAAGGTTGTTTACCTGGCACCACGCCGTCAGTGCCTACCTCCTCCCTGTTGGTAATCAGGCCTACTACTGTCGGTCGTCAGCAGACTTGGGAGTTGGAACTGTGTGAGGCCATGCAGTCGTGGGACTACAGGGAGTACAGGAGGGGACTGATGACGCACCCTTGTGGGGCCCCACACGTCGAGAATCAGTGTTGAGGAGGTAACGTTGCCTACCTTCACCACCTGGGGGCGGCCCGTCAGGAAGTCCAGGTTCCAATTGCACAGGCAGGAGTTCAGTCCCAGCGCCGTGAGCTTTGCGGTGAGCTTAGAGGTCACTATGGTATTGACGGCCGAGCTGTAGTCAATGAACAGCATCCTCACATATCCTTTCCTTTTGTCCAGGTGGGTGAGGGCAGTGTGCAGTGCAATGGCGATTGCGTCGTCTGTGGATCTGTCAGGGCGGTAGGCAAATTGGAGAGGGTCGAGTTTGTCGGAGAGCGAGGTGATGTGGTCTTTAACTAGCCTCTTGAAGCACTTCATGATGACTGAGGTGAGAGCTACGGGACAGTAGTCTTTCAGTTGTTACTTTCCCTTTCTTGGGCACAGGGATGATAGTGGACACCTTGAAGCAGGTGGCGACAGCGGCCTGAGCTAGAGAGATTGAAGATGTCCAAAACACAACAGCCAGCCCAGCCGGTCTGCACATACTCTGAGGGCGCTGCTAGGGATTCCGTCTGGGCCAGCAGCCTTGCGAGGGTTAACACGTTTGAATGACTTCCATACGTCCTTGGTGGAGACTGTAAGTAAGTAGCCCTCATTGTCCTCAGGGGCTCACCTCGGCAGCTCAGTCATCGTTGTGCTCAAAGCGTGAGAAAATGTGTTTAGCTCATCTGGTAGGGCGGCTTTGATGTCCGCGACGTGGCTGGCTTTCTTTTTGTAATCCATGATCGTTAGGAGTCCCTGCCACATTCGCCTCGTGTCCGACCCACTGAATTGCTCCTCTACTTTCTCCCTGTACTTTCATTTCGCCATCTTGATCGATCTCCGTAGGTTTAGCAACAGACTAAACATTTTGCAATGGAATCTGACTAATGAATACACCCCTGGGTAGAACCATTCACATAATTGTCTGTAGTTAATGGAACAAACCACATCTACAAAACCATTCTGAGAAAGTGTTTACATTTTATTTATAAAAAACACCTAAGAGTCCAACAATCAGCTTAACAATTCTTTATCGCATAAAAAGGATGTTCTGCAAGGGTTCCACCTTTGATGAGCAGCATGTATCCATTTTCCCCATACAATAAACACCACAGATGACTCCAGTCAGTGATACAAAAATAAAGTACTCTATGAACTACATATCGCCATCTGTTCTATGATGCAATGCTACATAAAAAAAACATGTCTCTACCAAAAATGTTACTGTGTGTGATGAAACAAGAAACAATACATAACTGATAATACTAATTCATTCCGTTTACATATCTTGCATTACTCATCTCATATTTATATACTGTATCTTAGTCCATGCCGCTCTGTCATTGCATGTCCATATATGTATACATTCTTAATTCCATTCCTTAAATTAGATGTGTGTATTGGGTATGTTGTGAAATTGTTAGATATTACTGCACTGTCGGAGCTAGAAGCACAAGCATTTCGCTACACCCGCAATAACATCTGCTAAACACGTGTATGTGACAAATACAATTTGATTTGAGATGTGGTGAAATGCCAGGGTTGAAGAGGAGTACACACTAAACATGTGACTGTATATAGACTTTTGGAGCAGTTTCATCATTGTGAGCACCCGTAGCGCCCCCTCACTCTTACTGAGACCTTAATACATTTGGTCCCTTTTGGTCTCGCAGTCTCGACAGTGGAGTGTGTCCAACTATCTACTGATCATCTGCCCATCACTGTGGCCAGGAGGGCCATGCGGATGTACATGCCGTTCTCAGCCTGCCGGAAGTACGCAGCACGAGGATCAGTGTCCACCTCCGCACTACAAGAGACAACGTCAACATGAAACCAAGTCATCCCGCTTAAGTCATTAGCTAGAATTTTCCACACGACTGCTAACATTATTGAATCAAATGAAGTATAATGAAAAGAGATGCATTCTAATCGAGGGGAACATCCATACCTGATCTCATTGACTCTCGGTAGAGGATGCATCACCACCATCTTCCTCTTAGCTCCAGTCATGATGTGTGGGGTGAGGATAAACTGACCGAAGCACTGTAGGAAAAAACACAAGTCCTTTAGCACTGATCAAACACTAAGGCCAGCCTCACATCAGTTTAGTGAATCCCCATTCCATCCCATCCTTACTGCTTTGTACTCTTCCTCTGAGGCAAACCTCTCCTTCTGGATCCTGGTCATGTAGAGGACGTCAGTGTCAGGCAGGGCCTCCTCGATGCTCTCAAACTCTTCCTGCAGTCACAAGGACATACAGTAGTTTAGTGCTTTATACATACAGTAGTTTAGTGCTTTATACATACAGTAGTTTAGTGCTTTATGTAGTGCATACCATGTGTAAAGGACACCTACATACCAGCAGCAGTGCCATTGAGATTTATATACAGAGCCATCAGCTTTACCACAAACAGCCTATGTGATCCACCCACCTGCTTGATGCCTTTGGAGGCCACAAAGTCAATGATCTCGGAGGGCATGTGGAGGTTCTTTGGGGCGACGTAGCGCAGAGTGATCCTGTACTGGGTGAGCAGCCTGGCCAGGGAATGCACTGTGCGGCCATGCTTCAGGTCCCCTACCATGGTGATCTACAGACGTCGAGAGAGACAAAAGTCAGGACACCTGGATGAAGACTGGAGGGCCATTGGGCATTGGCTATGTTAACTTAAAAGGCAGGTTGCCATCACAACGTACACAGTCTGGTTCCAGATCTTACAGCTTTCTGTTTGCATTACTGTAAGAAAAACTTTACGCCGCCGTTTACACTTCTAAATTAGTATTAGCACTAGTACTGTTGCAAAGACATGACCACCATCCCTAAAGGGGAGATGGGTGCGCTGAGGTCTCACCGTCATGCCGTTGACCGTGCCCAGCTCCTCTCTGATGGTGAACACATCCAGCAGGGCCTGAGTAGGGTGCTCCCCGACCCCATCCCCAGCGTTGATCACTGGCTTCCGGCAGTGCCTCGCTGCAGACTACAGGTGGAAATAAATGTGTCAGATACAGCTGAGCAAGTACATCTTCTCACTCAATAACTGATAACAAGGGTTGCGGTCAGTGTTAAGGTGGTACCACTTCTTTTTCAAAGTGTTTTCTCAGAATATCTTGCCTCAATGAACATGACCTTAAGTTTTCAATGTAGTTGTAACACGTTGTATCGACACCCTGCTCACCTCTACGGCCCCTGGCATGGGGTGTCGCAGCACCAGGACGTCAGCGTAGCAGCTCATGGTCTGGACCGAGTCGGCCAGAGACTCGCCCTTCTGCGACGAGGAGGTTGCCTCACAGAAATGGACCACGGAGCCGCCCAAACGCTGCATGGCGGCCGCAAATGAACTGCTGGTGCGCGTGCTGACCTCGTAGAACATGGACGCCATCACCTTACCCTGAGAGAGCAACACACAGGGGTCTAAGACAAATAATACAGACTAGTGTACAACATATCTATCTCTCTGAGCACAGCATTCATTGGGGCATTTCTACACTGAACTAAACGCAACATGTAAAGTGTTGGTCCCATGTTTCATGTTTCATGAGCTGAAATAATAAAGGCCAGACATTTTCCAGACACACAAAAAGCTTATTTCTCTCAAAGTTGACACATTTATTTACATCCCTGTTAGTGAGCATTTCTCCTTTGCCAAGATAATCCATCCACCTGACAGGTGTGGCATATCAAGAAGCTGATTAAACAGCATGATCATTACACAGGTGCACCTTGTGCTGGGGACAATAAAAATCCACTTTAATGCTTTAGTGCTGAGGAGTATTTCTGTCTGTAATATAGCCCTTTTGTGGGGAAAAGCTCATTCTGATTGGCTGGGCCTGGCTCCCCAGTGGGTCCCCAGGCCCACACCCCTGCCAAGTCATGTGAAATCCATAGATTAGGGCCTAATTTATTTAAATTTACTGATTTCCTTATATGAACTGTAACTCAGTAAAATCGTAGAAATTGTTGCGTTTATATTTTTACAACAGATTTACTGATCGAGTGGCACACCTTGAGAAATTCAGATAACTCGTTTTATGAGATCTTTAGGCATAGATGCAAACAGGTGGCAGGTGTTGCTTGTATTCTATTCTGGATCAGGTGATGTCATCAACTCCGATGTGAGTAGTCATTTCCGGTAGTTGTTTTGATATTTTATACAGCACACCTGCTCCTGTACGTTTATGCTGAAGGACGATGGGGCTCATCTCACTCCAGAAATAGGAGAAGAGTTAAGAACCAGGAAGAACCATGCTGCCTCCTGAGGTCCTGCAGATTACTCAAACCCTGGATGACTCAACACTGGGCTTAATGGAATGGCCTGACCGGCTACTCTGAAACGAGCTTCTCTCCTGCAATTTATACAGTGACAAATCACAGATTGCAGTAATTCCCAGACACTGTTGTTCTTTAGATTAATCTGAGTTTTAAACAAAAGGGAAAGAGAACTCTTACCTTCAGGATATCCAGGCTTCTCTCTTTCTGAACCATCAGGCGAAGAGTATGGGCCACGTTAAACATGTGAGAGATCTGAAATAAAGAGTTAGAAGATATAAAAATAATTTAAAAGTAATTTAGAAAAAAATGTCCCTGGCTGTGTGTTTAGAGCAGTGTTTCCCAACCCTGGTCCTCCAGCACCCCCAACAGCACACAGTTTCGTTGTAGCACTTGACAAACACACCTCATTCAACTCATTGAGGGCTTGATGATTAGTTGACAAGTTGAATCAGGTTACAGTAAAAATGTGTACTGTTGGGAGTACTCGAGGACCAGGGTTGGGAAACACTGGTGTAGAGTACCTGTTCCTTGCTGAACTGCCTGACAGAGAGGACGTGTTGTCCCACTAGGGGGTGCAGCAGGGGGGAGGTCTGGAGGTGGGCCAGGGTCTGCCCTGCCACTACCTCAGCCCGGGGGGACAGGATCCTGGCCAGGGGAGGGGGATGGCTGTAGCTGTCCCCAGCTGCAGGGGCCATCTCTGGAGACAGAAACACCAAACGCTTCAAATACCAAAGGAGAAATCTAACATATGTGTTAATATTAATTCGTTTAGCAAAGTCTCTTAAAATGATTGCAATCTTTTCTATTTCCTGAGGATGAAACACGACAAACACCTGAAATTACACTATATTTCAAATAAAGTTTGTCGCTTTTTCTTTCAAAGCGATCCAAGTGTTAGGAAAGCAGTCGGTTCAGAGCAAAGCGACATGGATAGTGCAGCAACTAATGAGAAGGAATGCAACCTTTTCTAGTATCTCTACAACAAGTATTCCATGAAATACAGGTGTTCAAAGCAACTACCAGCGACTACCAGTATAACTCCATTGAAAGGTTTTGCCAGAATATTACGCCAAACAGCCTGAACGATAGCAGAGTTAGGAAATATGTTAGTATTAGGCGTAACAGCTGAGCTGAGCTACATCAAGCTTCAAACCTTCTCTTAAACCTTCTTCTAATGCTCTCTCCCTTGAATCTTCAGCTGCTTAGAATATCATGACAAAAAGTTAGAACACAAGTGTTAGAGATTATTTAAAAAACGATGGTATTTAGACAATATTATAGCCAGTATACTGACATATTCAACGCTAATATAACTGGGTTATAAATACATTTGAAATTGATATGGCATTGAGCGTCATTTCATCCATCGTTTCTTACAAAGACCGTGAATCTTAATAAATGTGAGAGTCAAACATTAAACAACTTCCATCAGTAATTTCACACTGAAATGATTTGATAGGGGCTGTGATCGAACAGTCTTAGTAATGGGTGAAGAGCATAGCAAATGGCCAACCAAAATAAAAGGCTTTTAATTCCTTCATTCCCATCTCAACAATACACTTGTATGGATCGATAAAGTACAGCCCCAGGTCTTAAGCATCAGAACTATAGGTGGAGCACTAGATTTAGACATCTCATTTAATCAGCAAATGTACTCCTTCTCTTAGGAGCCAATCAATCTGTCATGATGACCATGCAGCCTACAGTAGAGACAGTGGAATCTCTCGTTATACGATTTTCGCTTTCTCAGCAAACGCTTAATATACTGTGTGCTGAAATCACATGATCAGTGGGTTCATAGATATAGGCTAAAAGTTTACCAATGACATCCAAGCACCATTTTGTGTACATTCCAAAAAAAAAAGAACAAAAAAACCTGTAGATGGACAGTGAATATCCTATTTATTGAAACTGACATTCACACAGCACTTTGCCACAACAAGCAAGAGCTCAGTTAGGAAAGACAAAACATTGAGGCTGTAGTACCTGGGGGTATGCCTGGGTCGGAGGACCTATGAACGCGGGGCGGGAGCATGTAGCGGCCATCCCCAGTGGAACGGCGAGGGCTCGGGGCGCATGTACGGATGCCCTCACACGGAGGGGTCAGCCGGGGGTGCTCTGGGGTCTGCCACACAACAGCCTTAGTTAGCGCCACGGCCAATGCTTGCTAGTATGGTACATAAGCACATATTACTGTCGGTTAAATAGTAGCACACGAATGTGAATGTGCGGAACTGAAATGGGTGGGACTGTACCTTTGGGACTTCTTTCACTGGCTCAGGGGGCTGGAGGATGGGGATGGGTGCAGGCCAAGTCTTCACATCCTCCCCATAGCCAGGAGGGACCAGCACCTGTCCGTCGATGTAGGCCACCTCTCCTCTGAGCACCACTCTGCGGACCTTGCCTTTCACCTTCATGCCTTCAAAGGGCGTCCACTTGGACTTGGTGAACTGCATGTGTTTGGGGATGACCCACTCCTGCTCCATGTCCACCTGGTGGGAGACAGCAGGTCAAGAATGTTGTTGAAAAGCCAAAACATTGAGTCTCTTTTCAATCCCACTTTGTATTTCAACATGGTAACCCAAGTATATAAATCCTTGCCATGTTGCCCATTTTACATGGTTAAAAACTCTCATTGGCTTGTGTCTATAGCTACCTCTACATAGGTGTTGTCCTGTGCGGGCAGGGAGAAAATTTTGCGGGGGTTGTCATACAGGCGCTTGATGATATCGTCGATGGTGAGGCGCCCATCGCTGACTGCGGTGAGGAGAAGGGGCAGCATGGTCTCCAGGCCGGGGTAACCTGGGGGGGGCTTCTCTGAATTCTTCTCCTCCACTGAATGGGGGGCTGTTAGTTAGCCAAAACACACAAATATTATCAGTATGGCAACACTCAATACTCATCTTTTTTTAAACAGCCATTATTATGAGCCATCCTCCCCTCAGCAGCTTTCTGTGGTAGGTACATAAGCAGCTTGCCGAGACTAACTAGTGTTTTGCAGAGAGCTAAAGAGCTACACAAACTAATAGTATAATACCGAAAACATGTGTATTTATATAAAGAAGCAAAGTGGAAAGCAGCATTGTTCTTGTTTAGATAAAATCTTTTGACTGCATGAATTGACCTAGCTAGAACAGCCTGCAGATTAGAGTGAATCTAATTGTAGGCACTAACTCCGCCATGGTTCGTTGAACAAAGCCTATGGAAAAAAGTATGGAGTTTTTATAGGGATTTTGGATAAACGTCAAGAATACGGTCTGTGGTAAACACAGGCTTAGGAGATCTTATACGTTTTGATCTATGGAGATAACACATAAAGGCTTCATAATTCATAAAAGTCATGTTAACGGTCTAATATTATCTCATAGAACAAAACGTACACTATCTCCTAAGCCTGTGTTAACCTCAGACCTTATTTTCAGCATTTATTCCAAAACCCTATTCTCTCCCCATTCATTTTGCCCCTAGCAATGGCTGAACGAACCAGAGGTAAGTTATTTAAGTTTAGGACAACAAGCTGGCGAGCTCTATAGCACGAAGGAACTGTGCTGCCTGCTTGAGTAACAGGGGGCGGGGCTTTGTGTTTGTAGATAGAAGGCGCAGGGCGGCAGATACGACAAATGAAGTAAACTATAAAAACGTGTGTTAAAAAAATATTGCATGGATCTTGCAATATGGATATTGCAAGTCAGTTTAGCTGAAAATGTGATTGATGGTGCAGCCCTGCTTACCGTGGTCAGTTGCGAAGCAGTCAATGATGTCCAGTTGTTCCCAGAGGGCCTCCATGTCCTCCCGGGTGCCCAGCATGGGGCGTACCTGTGCCCGGCCTTCCCCAATGTCCGCCACGTTCTCCTCACACAGGAAGAGGTGGTGGGGCGCCACCTCACATGTCACCTGGATGCCATTCTGCTTGGCCGCGCGGATGACCATGATCTGGGAGAAGGGTGGAATAGATGCCAAACATTACTCACCAAATGTATTGTATGTGTTCTGATGTTGTTTGTCTTAAAATGAATCATTTCAATGGCTCAAAGCTAATTTGTTAGATTTTGTGTGTTCTTGCAGTTGATCTTAATGAAAGCAATCGGTGAGGACTCCTTCCAAAAAAAAGACAACTACAAGGTTTCTGTATGCCTCGGTTGACACCTAATTTCACTCTGGAGACAACGAACGGGCAACACATAAAGGCAAAGCAGTGCTATGTCTGTATGTGATGTTCCAGGCGGCCATCTTACCTCCTCCTTCTTGGCCACATGGCAGATATGAACAGCTCTCTGGAACAGCTGGGCAACCATCAAGATGGCTGCCACAGTCTGCTTCTCTGCGTGAGCCACGATTGGCAGGTGCTTGGGCCACTTCTCAAAGTGCTAGTTCACACAAAGAGAAAGGGCAATTGGTCAGATCAACAAATCAATGTGAAAGATATATTTCAACGACCTCATTCAGTCAGTTGATACCTACCTCCATCCACATTGAGACGTTGTCCATCTTCAGAGTGGAGTAGGTGTCGTTCAGATACATCTTCAGCCCTGCGGCGGAGTTAGCGATGGAGGGCAAGATGGTGGAGTTGTCTGAAGCCGCCCCGACGTAAAGAGCATAGTCACAGCGACACCCTGCCTTGGCAAGCTGAGACGACAGGGACAAAACATTAAGATCAACAGTGCATGAGTAAACCTTCAGGTACTGATTAAGCCCATTTTATAAAACAGGCATTATTTAATGTTTGGAACAGACTAATTCAAATATCCAGTGGTAATTGTCTTAATGACTATGTATTCTCTCATTACCTTCTGGAACATGGCGAAGGAGCTGGGGTCGATTATGGCAGGTGCCGTGTTGGGCATGGCACACACCATGGTGACGCCCCCTGCCAGGGCAGCCGCTGTGCCCGAGGAGAAGTCCTCCTTGTGGGTGGCACCCGGCTCCCGCAGGTGGACGTGTACATCTATCAGACCTGTCACGGGGGGGGGACAGGGAGAGGGGACTCGATGAGTACTATTCAGAAACACTGCAGTTCCACAGGTTGACAGAAGGAGCTATCATCTATTGTCCAAATACAGGAAGATAGCAGGGGGCTTGTATTTGAAGTTAACAGCCTTTACTTTTGAACACAGCCCAAGCCGATGGTGCTTACTGCTTACCAGGCAGGCGAATCAACTTCTGTGACGTCATACAGTCCACGTGAGTCTTGACAGGCGGGAAGCAGCCAACCAGACGCAGCGCCTACAATTATAGGAGCATACACTTCAATCAGGATAGTCAGCAATCAATGTAGAACCAACATAGCTAGGTCAAACATCAGCAGTGGCTAACATCCCATCATAGCCCCCTAACTAACCTACCTGGACAAACAGCTTGGTGCACTTTATGTCAATGATGAGGGGCACGGAGTAGTCGATGGCCATGCGGCGGGTGCGGTAACCCTTGGTGACGAAGGAGGAAAGGCGTCGGCCTCCGGAGTTCCTCATAGAGAGGTTGATAACCATGTCAAAGTGGTGGTCCTCCAGGTATTCCAAAATGTTCCTCTGCTTGTCCTTGTTGGGGCAGTCGCTCTCCTCCTCCCCAAATGGCCAGTCCACCGCCATCACCTGAAAGAGACCGAACATAACAGGGGGGGGTTCCATTTTCAATTCAGTCAAATTAAGGAAGTAAATTGAAAATAACGTTGTGAATTGAAAATTGCTCATTCTGGAAACTATTCTGTTGAGAAGAGCCCACTCAGACTAGATGTGATGTACCTTGACTCCATGCTCAGTGTAGAAGTCAGCGGTCCCCAGGCTGGCATACAGATCATAGCCCAGACTCTCCAGAGCCTGAACAGTAGGCAGCAGCTCACTCTTGTTCTGCAAAGATACAATGAACATTTATGTACCGCTGGCCTCAAAATGAATTACCATGAAAATGTTTAGCTCATTGTATTATAGTCAGGTTAGTGTACCTTGTAACTGCCAATTGAGAGCAGAATGTTCTTCTTGGGGATCTTGAAGCCTGTGCTGAGCATGGCCTTCAGATAGGCCTCATATCTGTTCTCTCCAAAGCAGGCCACCTCCCCAGTACTGGTCATCTCTACCCCCAGCACCACATCAGCCCCGGCCAGACGAGAGAACGAAAACTGGGGGACCTGAGAGACATGCATTCAAACAAATGGAAGTTGGTATATGATCGGTGAAACAATAATTAAACTGGAGTATTTTACAGTTGTTGTGAACTCGTCAGTTGGGTTACCTTGACGCCCACGATGCCCACTCCTTTCATCAGGCCCACGGGCTCCATCTTATCTCCCATGATGACGCGCGTTGCCAGGGCGACCAGATCCACTCCCAGAGTTTTTGAGACGAACGGGAAGGAGCGGGAGACTCGGACGTTGCACTCGATCACCTTCAGCTGGTCATCCTGTCCAGGAAACACACTCGTTGCAATTAAAGGCAACAGAACAGCCATTGGAAATCCCGCAGGGAACAGAAACACACTTGATTTTATGGTTGTGGGTGATTATCTGTTTGGCATGTTATTGGTTGTCAATCTCTGATTTGAAACCCCCCCCCCAAAAAAATGTTTTCCTTTAGACTTTACCTTAGCGATGAGTTGCAGGTTGAAGGGCCCAGTGACCTGCAGTTCCTGTCCAATGGCATGGACAATCATCTTAATACGCTCCATGGTCTTCTGGTTGATGTCCTGGGGGGGGGTGACCAGGGTGGCGTCCCCAGAGTGCACCCCGGCGTTCTCCACATGCTCCGACACGGCGATGGCCATCACCACGCCGTCGCACGCCACCGCGTCCACATCTATCTCCTGGAACAAAGAGAGACGCCAGTCAGGTCCAGACTAGAGTTGACTAAAGGAGCCATCATGGATATTTAAAAGGGATAGTCCACTTTTTTGCAAATTGAAAATAAAGACTTTGAAATCTATGTAGTAAAGAATTTCCCCAGTCGTACCTTGGCCTCCTGGATGAACTTGGAGATGACCACGGGGTATTCCTTGGACACGGCCACAGCGCTGCTAAGGTACTTCTCCAGGTCGCTGTCTGTGTACGCCACGTTCATGGCCGCTCCACTCAGCACGTAGGAGGGACGCACCAGGCAGGGGTAGCCCACAGTCTCACAGAACTTCATGGCTGACTGGGGAGGAGGATACAATATAACATACAGTGCCTTCAGAAAGTATTCATACCCCTTGACTTTTTCCACATTTTGTTGTGTTACAGCCTGAAGTTAAAATGTATTAAATGTAGCTTTTGTGTCACTGACCTACACACGAAAGTGGAATTGTGTTTAGACATTTTTACAACTTAAAAATGAAAATCTGAAACGTCTGAAGTCAAATCAGTACTCAACACCTTTGTTATGGCAAGCCTAAATAAATACAGTAGAAAATAAAATGTGCTTAACAAGTCACATAATATGTTGCATGGACTCATAAAAAATATTCCAAAACATGCACCCTGCTTGCAATAAGGCACTAAAGTAAAACTGCAAAAATTATGACAAGAAAAAAAATACTATATTCTGAAAACAAAACACATAGTTGAGGCAAATCCACACAATTACAGGTGACCAGGTACTTATGTGTTAAGAGGTTGTGGCTAGTCAAAGTTCTGGGTTCTATCCGGAAGACTAGGGACGTTTGTAGCAAAATAAAATCCAGTAGAGCCAAGAGCTTGAAAATGGACTATCTAGAATTTACCAACAACCAACTTGACAGAGCATGAAGAATAAAAAAATTAATAATAATGTGCAAATATTGTACAATCTAGGTGTGCAAAGCTCTTAAGAGACTTACCCAGAAAGAGACACAGCTGTAATCGCTGCCAAATGTGATTCTAACATGTATCGACTCAGGGGTGTGAATATTTATGTTAATTAGATTTCTGTATTTCATTTTCAATACACTTGCAAACATTTATAAAAACATGTTTTTACTTTGTCGTTATGGGGTATTGTGTGTAGATGGGCAAGGAGAAAAAACAATTATTCAATTGATTTTTAATTGAGGCTGTAACACAACAAAATGTGGAATAAGTCAAGGGGTATGAATACTTTCTGAAGGCACTGTAAATTTCACAATTTCTTTCCAATTTGAGATTGACTCATCTGCAACCAAGACCTATAACCTCTATTACTGGTTTGAAATGAATATGGATTAGAACCCCTGTTCTGTGCTGACCTCAATCTCAGTGAGTTCCTTCCACAGGGGCTGGCTGATGCCGATGGTGTCCAGCATGCGGGAGAACTTGAACCTGTTCTCAGCAGAATCGATGAACTCCGGGGAGGTGCCCAATATACGACACTGCTGCCTGTGGAGGGACATGGCGATGTTGTTGGGCAGCTGGCCCCCCATGGACAGGATCACTCCCTCTGGGTTCTCCATCTCATAGATGTCCATCACAACCTGGAGGAAGGGAGGCGACAATGGAGCTTTATGGTCATGGCAACATACCATGCATTAAACAGAGTTTGATGGCGAGGGGGTGAGGCCCTTTGCTCATGTGATAAAAGCATTAGATCAAGTAAGTTAGGACCTTTGAATGTTGATTATTGTATGATAAAAACTACAAAATAATTTTTTTGAAATAAAATGTGTTGGGACTATGCCATCAGAGTCGAGCATTCTTACCTCAAAGGAGATCTCATCGAAGTAGAGCCGGTCGCACATGTCATAGTCTGTGCTGACAGTCTCTGGGTTATAGTTCACCATGATAGTTTTATAGCCCATCTAAAAAAGGGGAAACACAGCAAATCATGACAATATCAGCTTTTGTTCTTCAACATTCTTCTAATAAATGAGAGCTATTCTGCGCAAAGTAGAAATTGTCTTACCTTCCTGAGTTCCATGATGCAGCCCACAGCGCACCAGTCAAACTCCACACTGCTGCCGATGCGGTAAACCCCGGAGCCGATTACTATGACATGGGGATCTCCAAAGCCCAGGTCGCTCTCCGTACCATTATAGGTCAGGTACAGGTAGTTGGTGTGGGCAGGCCACTCCGCCGCCACCGTGTCGATCTGCTTCACCACTGGCAGGATGCTCCAATCACGACGCAGCTTCCTCACCGCCAGCTCCGTGCTGGAGTGAGACATAGGTTCAAAGGTCAGAGCTCAGACAAGTTCATAAAAATAAACTCACATTTCAAACCAAGTCAGTTTTTTTATCCCAGACAAATGCCTCAAAGTCTTTAACGAAAGGACACACTGCTCTGCGGAACTGAACCCTGAGACACAAAACATAACAGACAGACTGCGTCCCATTCCGACTCGTCATCGTATCGTCACTGAAGAATCTCTAATTTATTCTGTATGTTTTTCATGTACCAGCCTCAACTTTTAATGATGTTTTGAAACACGTGAACAACAGGCTACCATTCTCAGGAGTATCACAGTCCTGTACCTCTGCACAGCCAGGGCGATCTGTTTGTCTGAGAAGCCCAGCTGCTTGGCTTTCCTCATCACCCCCAGAGGCATGGTGCTCTCGTCCTGGTTGTACGACTCCAGCACCTTCTCATGGTCCGCGATGTTCTTCATTTTGTGAAGGAACCAGCGGTCGATCTTGGTCAGGTCGTAAAGGCGGTCCACTGTATAACCTGCCCTGAGAGCAGCCGCCAGAACAAAGATACGCTTGTCTGTCGGGGTCTGCAGCTCCTGTAAGACCACAGGACAGAGTCATGTCAGAACAGCCAAGAGGAAAAAGACAGGTAAAAAAGGTGCGTGAGCTTACCTCGTCAGACACTGGTTTGATGGTGTGGTCAAAGCCCACACAGTTCTCATCCACCATCCGCAGAGCCTTCTGGAAGGCCTCCTCAAAGCTGCGGCCGATGGCCATCACTTCTCCTACAAAGGTCACAGACAAAAACTGTGTTAACCAACTATCAACCAACTCCTATTGTGTGAACTTGCAATGCAACCGAGTGGTAGAATCACCTGCCCCTACAGATAGAAGGCAGATAAGGCACTCTGCTGCTCCCAAATGAGATCATTAATCAAAAGTGCTTGTCCTCTTACCCACGCTCTTCATGGAGCTGCCTATCTTGGTGCTGACGCGCAGGAACTTGCTGAGATCCCAGCGAGGGACCTTCACCACACAGTAGTCAAGACTGGGCTCAAAGTTAGCCGTGGTCTGGTTGGTCACAGAGTTCCTGGATAATAACAGAAACATTACCTGTTAGAACCATGGTATTAGTAGATCAATGCCAAAATTAAATTCTTAACCTGACTTCAGGCCACAAAACGTGAATAAACTCACTTGAGGACAGGTAGCGGGATGCCCAGACCCAGCTTGGCGGCCACGTAGGCCAGGGGATATCCTGTAGCTTTACTGGCCAGAGCTGAGCTCCGAGATAGACGGGCATTCACCTCAATGATGTAGTACTGCAGCCCAGAAACACCCATTTAGATTGCTATACAGTATAAACATTTAAAAAATATCAGAACATGTTTGGCGTTTCCCCCAATACTTTTTCAGCAGTGGCAAAGTTAGGGGGGGGGGGGGGGGGGCATGTCTCCCAAGTGGCGCAGCGGTGCTAGAGGCGTCACTACAGACACGGGTTCGATTCCAGGGCTGTATCACAACTGGCCGTGATCGGGAGTCCCATAGGGCGGCGCACAATTGGCCCAGCGTCGTCCGGGTTAGGCGAGGGCTTTACAAGTAGGCCGTTATTGTAAATAAGAATTTGTTCTTAACTGACATGCCTCGTTAAATAAAAAATGGCGCGGTTTTAGAGGCCCTCCTCTTGGCTGCAGAGACTAAATGTTGGTGGTAAAGCTAATTTCCTGAAAGTCTACCCATTTTGCCATGCTTATGCTGTTTCTTATGCCATCGGAGTAACTCAATTAGAACTAAAATCAAATGAGGGCCCCATGCCATTTTAGATTCTCCCTGACTGTCTAGCTTTTATTTAGGTGATTGTTAGTTCTCAAAGATGATCTTAATTAAAAATATATCGCTCCATTATCTTTTCTACATACTTTATCTGGTTTTAGTCGTCTAAGTTCACACTGAAAACATTGAAACATCCCTAAATATACATTTTATTTGCAGTGGTGGACACAATTTAGGGGTAACACTGATGTTTCTGAGGGTTAACACTAGTATAAACTATAAATGTCAGTACGGGCCATTACCTGTTCAGACTCAGGGTTGAGGGCGTACTGGATGTTACACTCTCCCACGATGCCTAGGTGTCTGATGACCTTTATGGCGGTGTTCCTCAACATGTTGTACTCATAGTCGTTGAGCGTCTGACTGGGCGCCACCACGATGGACTCCCCGGTGTGGATACCCAGAGGGTCAATGTTCTCCATGTTACATACCTACAGGATAGAAAAACTCAACACTTTAATAACATTCCATCTTGCTTGATAAAGGAATCTTCACGCTTAAACAAATAATGACGTATAAACGTATATAACAGTCAAATGCATAATAACATAAAACGTACATAGTAACAAATATACAGGTAGCTGCCAAAATAACAGAAACACTTGAGTAAATGAGGGACACAAAGTATATTAAAAGCTGGTGCTTCCACACAGGTGTGATTCATGAGTTAATTAAGCAATTAACATCCCATCATGCTTAGGGTCACGTATAAAAATGCTGGGCAGGCCATTTTTTGGCCTACCATGGCTATGCCCCGATAGGATGACAATGCCCCCATCCACAGGGCACGAGTGGTCCCTGGATGGTTTGATGAGCATGAAAACGATGTAAACCATATGCCATGGCCGTCTCAGTCACCAGATCTCAACCCAATTGAACACTTATGAGAGATTCTGGATTGGCGCCTGAGACAGCGTTTTACACATCCATCAACAAAACACCAAATGATGGAATTTCTTGTGGGAGAATGGTGTCGCATCCCTCCAATAGAGTTCCAGAATCTACGCAAAGGCGTATTGAAGCTGTTCTGGCTATTAAGACACTTTATGTTGGCGTTTCCTTTATTTTGGCAGTTACCTGTACATAGTAACAAATACATGCACAGTGACGTCCCTCTACTTACGGTGATACAGTTGTCGTAGGCGTCTCTGACCACCTCATACTCAATCTCTTTCCAGCCCTTCAGGGACTTGTCCACTAGGACCTGGGAAGTGTGGGCGAAGGCAGATGTCACCAGAGAGGTCAACTCCTCCCTGTTGTTGGCAAAGCCAGAGCCCAATCCGCCAAGGGCAAAGGCCGAGCGCACCATGACTGGGTAGCCAATACGCTCTGCAGCCGCCACCGCCTAGAACACACAGAAAAGAAGAGACCACATAAAAATACACCACAAAAAGCAAAAGCCCACAGTCAAACAGATTAACAGGATGATTCCAATCAACACATAAAGTGACAATCAGTATGGGTCAATGTGTGTGTGAGAAGGAGAGTGTGTGTGTGATATTTGTCCCAAGCCATTCTCCTTACCTGCTCCACAGACAGAGCGGCCTCGCTGGGCGCTACGTGTTCATTGATCTCCTCCATCTTCTCCACAAAGATCTTCCTGTCCTCAGTCATCTCGATGGAGGCCACTGGCGTCCCCAGCACACGCACAGCATACTTCTCCAGGACCCCCCTCTTGGTCAGCTGCACCCCGCAGTTTAGAGCAGTCTGCCCCCCGAAGGTCAGGAGGACCCCGTCTGGACGCTCATTCTTTATCACCTGGACAGGGGAAATAGGGCAGAGGGTCAGTTCTCACTCATTGAATGAATATCAACCGTAGGTCAACCCTACTGATCTTTTATCAGTTCTGAGTACCTGAGAGATGTAATACACATGCTTTGCTTGTTGAGCACTGATCAGAAATGAGTGACTGGAGGATGGCGCAGGTAGCAGTGGCCATTCCATTAGCATCTCCTTCCTTACCTGAGTGACGTACTCTGGGGTGAGAGGCAGGAAGTAAACCTTGTCAGCCAGACCCTTGGAGGTTTGAACCGTGGCGATGTTGGGGTTGATGAGCACTGTCTGAATGTTCTCCTCCTTCAATGCTTTTATGGCCTGGGGGGAGGGTTGGACATAGAAGAGTGTCTGATTAGTTCAAATACACTTCAATTATACTGCTCATGACACCTGCTGTTGAGTCTTCACTGGGGTTGGCAGTGTGTCTCACCTGAGAGCCAGAGTAATCAAACTCCCCAGCCTGTCCGATGGAGAGGCCTCCAGAACCCAGGATTAGGACTTTGCGTGGCCGAACAAATTCCTCCGGATTGGTAGACCCAGGATAGGTCAGATGCTCTGTCAGTCTCTGCTTCACTACAGGAAGGGAGAGGTGTTACTTTAACCTACAGGTAGTATAGAGTCCTAAGAACAGTTGAGATGAACGCATGTCTAACCTGGTTTGCCACTCTTGCCCTCCTTGTGGTCTCTGACCGTGTCCAGAAACACATCAAACAGACTGACCAGGTCAGTGGGGCCTGCCATGTGCTCTGGGTGGAACTGGACACTGGAATGACATGGGTAAAACAATATCTGGTTTTCAACTTTCTGTATCTTGGGAGGGTCAGCTGATGAAACCAACACTGTAAAAGTGTGAAAACATTTGATCAGTGTTATTCCCTGACAGTTGCTGGTTGAAAATACAATATACACAGGGCCTTCTAATCAACAGGTCTGCATGGGCAGGAGTTTCGATTTTCCATGGTGACGTCGCCATGCGGTAAATTAGTTAATGGACCAATAACAGTTTTCCCCTCCTCACTCAGACCACTCCCAGACAGTCCTAGCTAAATTCTTGCTTGAGAATTAGTTTGTCTCAAAAGCTATTTTTCCCCCCATTTTAATGTACTTAAAGTATTACCTAGAAATTATTTGATATAAAAACAGCTGCATTGGGCCTTTAAACAAGTTGAAAGGCTGGAAGCAGCACATGAGTTCCCATTGGTAGATGGTACCTGAATAGGTGTTTGGTGTTGTGCACGATGCCCTCACTGGTCTGGTCATTGGCGTTGGTGAAGAGCACATCCCAGCCCTGTGGCAGGGTCAGGGGATCCACAGCAAAACCATGGTTCTGAGATGTGATGAAACAGCGATCTGTGCCCTTGTGGATACAGGGCTGGTTATGGCCACGGTTCCCATACCTGAAACAGACAACTGTTTTTAGTCTAAATCTATTTTTTAATGGCCGTGACTGGTTAAGCTCTATTCCAGATGCGGATTCATAGTGCTCCTGCAGAATCCTTACTTGACACCTGCACAGTGCTATAAACCATGTAAATTGTTCAGCTTTCCACCGACTGACTGCATGGCATTCCAGACAGACAAAAGGAAGCTGGCATCTCATCTGGCCTTGGGACTAACGGAACGCTAACAAAGTAACAATCCCAGGAGTCTTACCAAAACAAACCAGGCCTTTCCAGCACCTCAGCAATGCACTACGCTGTGTCCAAACTGCTGCGCTAAGCAGAAAAGCTCATTTCACACCAGAACGCTCCCAGATAAATAAAGAGGGGCCCTGGGAAGCACTGACATCTGAGGGGGCCAAACAAAAGCAAAAACAGCCAGCACCACTGGTTTTGTCCTCTTTGAAACCAAACAAAGACAGTAAGCAGAACTTAAGACCTGAGGAGGCAGAAAGAGACGGACACAAGTCACAACAACCATTTAGTGCCCTGTCCCTGTACTAACTTCATTTTGTAGGTTTTTGCTCCGATGACGAGGGAGAGAAGCTGGTGGCCCAGGCAGATACCAAACACAGGCTTGGGATTGTCCACACACACCACCTTCCTTACATTGTCTATGGTCTCCTTACAGAACTGGGGGTCCCCAGGGCCGTTGCTGATGAACAGCCCATCAAACTCTGAAAAGGACCACAACTTTGTCAGCATAGCTAAAATAAATATTATAATACAAACTATTTCACTTACAATAGAACTTCATGATATCATGGCTGAAACTAACTTTGCAGGTCAGATGCACCAAGGTAAAGATTAAGGCAGGGGAGAGAAGAGGCAAAACAAGGGATCAGGGAGTAATCTCTGAATCTTAAATGAAACCCAGCGCAGTAACCAGCTGTGACTAACCTGTGCTGTCCAGTGGGTGATCCCAGGGCACCACGGTGACACAGGCCCCTCTCTGACACAGGCAGCGGATTTGGTTGTACTTAATGCCACAGTCTACAGCTGTGATTCTGACAGCACCACTGGGGTTGAACACCCGGGGCTCCTGTTCAACACAGACAGAAAAGGCACTTAAGTCCTGAGAAAAAGATAGCGTCTGCCTATCCACTGTGGTGAGAAAACATTTGGCTTGTCACGGACTTGCAATGGGTTAAGCTACAGATAAGTGTTATGTAATCCACAAAAAACTATTGGCATTTCATTGAGGAAGTTTCAGGATCGTAACACTAGAAAAGTGTGACAGGATCAAGCTTAAACATAGCAACACCGTACCTTCACGGACACCTCCTTGACCAGGTTCCTCTGGTCAAGGTTGTCAAATGGAACGTTGGCCTCAGGCGTTCCATCCACAACCAGCTTCCCCAGCATTGTTCCCTTCTCACGGATCTTCTTGGTCAGACAACGTGTGTCAACTCCTAAAGTATCACAGCAAGCACATTAACTACAACCTCTATTGTAGAGGCTATACTGTAGACAGCACATATCAAAACACATATTCAGACAACATTTGATACAGTACTAGGATGTTTAGAATGATAACTCTACTGACCCTCTAGGCCGGGGATGCCCTGCTCTTTCAGCCACTGGTGCAGAGACATGGCTGAGCTCCAGTGGCTGGGGTTCTGGGAGATCTCTCCTACGATGAGGGCTGCAGCGTGGATCTTAGAAGACTCAAACCACTGAGGGACAAAATAATAGAACATTACATTCAAACAGGTGCTTGGGGTCAATGAGGGCAAGATACTTTTCTCAACCCACTATTTCTGTTGGGACGCTCCTGTGAAACGTTGAATCTAGCCAACTCCCCCCACCTTGCTGAGTCCAAAGTCGCCCTCCTCATCCTGGGGTATACCATAGTTGCCCTGCAGAGGGTAGGTGAGGGTGAGGATCTGACACGTGTAGGACGGGTCAGTCAGGGCCTCTGGGTAGCCAACCATGCCTGTCTGGAACACTGGAAAAAAATAAATCAGGTCAACTTTTCAGTTTTCATAGTAAAGTGCAAATTAGTGAAAAGTGCTTCAAATCAGGTTTGGCACATTTTTGAATAAGGTGATGCAACTGGAACTTTGGAAATGTGCACTGTGCTCCATTTATTATTACATATGGATTGAAAGAAATAGACCTTACAATCTAAATTAATGCTAGCTACATCTCAATTACAATGTATGGGACACGGTACAGCAAGGACAATATAGGTGAAACATGTTCATACGTTGTTCAAACTCGGAGTTGCGTTAATCCACTGACCGAAATAGGGTTCTGATTAGGTGGAATACTGCTACGACCAGTAGTGACTTTTCGTAGCAGGTTAAGGTTAGCTAAAAGGCTCTCCTAACCTGCTACGAAAAGTCACTTCCGGTCGTAGCCGTACTGCATCTATTCACCCCCGAAATAAGCCTAAATGAAGGGGTCAGAGGTTATGGGTCATATGCAGAGACCGGCAAGGGTGTTAGGAGAATAGAGCTGCGTTTAGCTATACAATTTGACTTTGTGGGTAACATATAGGTAGTTACCTATCAGAATACCTGTATAAATGATGACATAACTCCATTGAAACTACCTCACTAATTAGATTTCTCCTCATAAAATACGACTTACCAACTTCACCAGACACTGACGCATTTGCCCCGAAAAGGCGGCCCTTGAACGTGGTCCCATCTTCTAAAACCAGGGTTGCCATTTTTTTATCAAAATTGTCAGTACTGTAATTGTACAGAATCAACGCAGTCTTAGATTCGATTATGGGAAGCAATAATCAGCTTTTTGGTCTGATCGATGCTTCAGTTCCGCAATGCTTGCCCACGTGAAACACACGCTGGCCAGATGCTAACGAAGATGCACGAGCAGAAATCTTGTTTGAAAAATGGCTGTAAGTTAAAAGGAAGACAAATGATTGTGTTGGTTATATGCAAACAAAATAAAGCGTCAAAAACGATATAAAGAAATGCTGTCTGTCGAAGGCTGAACGCTAAGTCCACACTGCTCAGCACGCCGCCTTAGCAGTGTGGAACTTTTCAGCGACCTCGCGGTGTTTACATAGAGCCCCACAGTGGGTGCGTCATAATACCCATAAACTCTAGCGGTCAACACGGAAATAGTTCCAATCGTTTTTTCACCATACATTTTTCCTATAGGGGATTTTCGAACCAGGGAGAGAAAGGGAAGACACAGGGTTTAAGAGCCAGGATTAAGTGAACTGCTGGAAAATCTTCAGGGGATGTAGTAAATATTGGTTTCCTTAGGGAGACGAGATTATTGGGTAGAATTTAGACCTTCACTGTTTTTGGTCCACACTCCAGTCCAGTTGGTGGCGGTAATGCACCTTGAAGTTGGTTGCCAACCGCCATATAAAATCCACAGAAGAAGAAGAAGAAGGATTTTAGAACCAATTCAAAGAAGGGGCTTGTTCGACGTTGCAGCTAGGCAGCCGTGCAGGCTCCTCAGGGTAGGACGGCTCATAATAATGGCTGGAACGGAGACCATGTGTTTGATGTATTTGATACCATTCCACGGATTCCGCTCCAGTCATTACCACGAACCTGTTCTCCCCAATAAAGGTGCCAACAACTTCTTGTGCAGTGCAGCCGACTGCCAACCGACTGATCTACACATCACCTTGCATCATAAATAACGACTCATTATTTGTACTTGATCAGTCAGTCGTTCACAATTTATCCCTGATACATCACGATTTTGATGCTCTTGAACACAGCCATTGTCTGTTTCATGTAGGCTTTCCCTGGCGTTTTGATAACCGTGTAAATCTCGCTTGAACAATGTTACTTTTAGCAATATATTCGACTCCATTTACTCTCAGATTAGAACATGTTAAATAGCATCAAAGTAGACATCATAAAGTAGACATCATACAAGAATACAAATCCCTTCAAGCTCCGGCATGTCATCACTAGCTGACACCTTTGCTGTCAGCTAGCTAGCTACCTTAATCATAAAACTAAAGATATTGAACATTTTAATTTACTGTTCCATATTTAACTAATATTTGTTGTCTTATTTATGCATTTGGTCTTGTGTCTTGAATACTATCCTAGTAGCAGTCAGATATTTACAATGTGCCATGAAAACTAAGCTATTATTTTGCAAAGAAGCTAGCTAGCTACATATTAGCAACATACCATTATTTGACCAGATCCTCTTCTCCTTCAGCTGGTGGAGGTCTATCTTTAATCCCTTATAATCCCTATAACTACAGTGGCTTGCGAAAATATTCACCCACCCTTGGCATTTTTCCTATTTTGTTGCTTTACAACCTGGAATTAAAAATGGATTTTTGGGGGGTTTGTATCATTTGATTTACACAACATGCCTACCACTTTGAAGATGCATTGTGAAACAAACAAGAAAAAAGACAAAAAAACTGAAAACTTGAGCGTGCATAACTATTCACCCCCCCTCCCAAAGGCAATACTTTGTAGAGCCACCTTTTGCAGCAATTACAGCTGCAAGTCTCTTGGGGTATGTCTCTATAAACTTGGCACATCTAGCCACTGGGATTTTTGCCCATTCTTCAAGGCAAAACTGCTCTAGCTCCTTCAAGTTGGATGGGTTCCGCTGGTGTACAGCAATCTTTAAGTCATACCACAGATTCTCAATTGGATTGAGGTCTGGGCTTTGACTAGGCCATTTTTTTAGGGGGTAGATCAGCTTTAATATTGCAGATAGATTGTAACTTTCATCAATGTAATTGTCTGCATCACTTCCAATCCCCCATATGTTTATTTTCTCTCGCATACATATATATACAGTGGGGAGAACAAGTATTTGATACACTGCCGATTTTGCAGGTTTTCCTACTTACAAAGCATGTAGAGTTCTGTAATTTTTATCATAGGTACACTTCAACTGTGAGAGACGAAATCTAAAACAAAAATCCAGAAAATCCCCCAAGACCCCAAGAACACCATCCCCAACGTCAAACATGGAGGTGGAAACATTATGCTAAGGGGGTGTTTTTCTGCTAAGGGGACAGGACAACTTCACCGCATCAAAGGGACGATGGAAGGGGCCATGTACCGTCAAATCTTGGGTGAGAACCCCCTTCCCTCAGCTAGGGCATTGAAAATGGGTCATGGATGGGTATTCCAGCATGACAATGACCCAAAACACACGGCCAAGGCAACAAAGGAGTGGCTCAAGAAGAAGCACATTAAGGTCCTGGAGTGGCCTAGCCAGTCTCCAGACCTTAATCCCATAGAAAATCTGTGGAGGGAGCTGAAGGTTCGAGTTGCCAAACATCAGCCTCGAAACCTTAATGACTTGGAGAAGATCTGCAAAGAGGAGTGGGACAAAATCCCTCCTGAGATGTCTGCAAACCTGGTGGCCAACTACACGAAACGTCTGACCTCTGTGATTGCCAATAAGGGCTTTGCCACGAAGTACTAAGTCATGTTTTGTAGAGGGGTCAAATCAACACTGCAGAGCTCTCCCTGTCCTCTGCGTGCCCTGATTGTATTACTGTTGATGATATCTGGAAATGTGCGTGTACACACTGGCCTACTGTTGCTAGCCCCAATTCTGACTTGTGCTCTGATATCTATTTCACTGAATTCTGCACGTTAACACTAGAAGCTTATTACCTAAAATGGATCAATTGAAAGTGTGGGTTCACAGCTCCAATTCGGATGTGTTGGTCATTACTGAGACGTGGTTAAGAAAGAGTGTTTTGAACACTGATGTTAGCCTTTCTGGTTATAACCTTTTTTGTCAAGACAGATCTTCCAAAGGTGGTGGAGTGGCAATCTTTACCAAGGAACCCCTTCAGTGCTCGGTTGTCTCCACCAAGTCTGTCCCCAAACAATTTGATTTGCTGGTTTTAAGCATAAATCTTTCAAATAGCTCTTTGTTGACTGTTGCTGGGTGTTATCGTCCACCATCAGCACCGGGCCTGTACCCTACCTGCCCTAAACTCTCTCCTGGCCCCTTACACTAAGTCTGAATTTGTCTTGCTAGGTGACCTAAACTGGGACATGCTTAAACCACCCGACCAAATCCTAAAGCAATGGGACTCCCTAAATCTTTCTCAGATTATTACCAATCCCACAAGGTATGACTCCAAACACCCAGAAGAGGCTACTCTTCTTGATGTTATCCTCACAAATAATCCTGATAGGTATCAGTCTGGTGTTTTCTGTAATGACCTTAGTGATCACTGTTTTACAGCCTGGGTTTGTAATGGCTGCTCAGTGAAACGACCTGTCCTAATTTATATTTGTCATATACGCTTGCTAAAAAACTGTAATGAATAAGCCTTCCTTCATGACCTGGCCTCTGTAAATTGGTATAGAATCAGCTTGATCCCCTCTGTTGAGGACACTTGGACCTTCTTTTTTGATATTTTCAGTGGTATTGTTAACAAACACGCCCCCATAAAGAAAATGAGAATTGAAAGCAGGTTCAGCCCCTGGTTCGACCGTGATCTAGCAGAGTTACTCCACCTCAAGAATTCCATTTGGCAAAAGGCTCGGAACACGCATACTCAGGCTGACTGGCTCTCGTTCAGGCAAATGAGAAATAAGTGCACTCAGGCTATCTGGAAGGTCAAAGTTAGTTACTTTAAGGAGCAGTTCGCTCTCTGTGAGTCTAACCCCAAGAAGTTCTGGAAAACGGTTAAAGACCTGGAGAATAAACCCTCCTCCTCACAGCTGCCCATGTCCCTTAATGCTGATGATGTGGTTGTTACAAGGAGCACATGGCTGAGCTCTTTAATCACCACTTCATTAAGTCAGGATTCCTATTTGACTCAGCCATGCCTCATTGCCCGTCCAACATTTCCTCATCTCCCACCCCTTCTAAAGCGACTAGCACCGATGCTCCTCCCTCTTTTTCCCCTGCCCCGCTACAAAATGTCTCCCTGCAGGCAGTCACTGAGTCTGAGGTGCTAAAGGAGCTCCTTAAACTTGACTCAAAAAAACATCTGGGTCAGATGGTTTAGATCCTTTCTTCTTTATGGTTGCAGCCTCTATTATCGTCTAGCCTGTCTCTGACCTTTTTAACCTGTCTCTCCTCTCTGGGGAGGTTCCCATTGCTTGGAAGGCAGCCACAGTGCGTCCTTTATTTAAAGGGGAAGATCAAGCTGATCCTAACTGTTATAGGCCAATTTCAATTTTGCCCTGTTTATCAAAAGTGTTGGAAAAACTTGTCAATAATCAACTGACTGGCTTTCTTGATGTCTATAGTATTCTCTCTGGTATGCAATCTGGTTTCCGCTCAGGTTATGGATGTGTCACTGCAACCTTAAAGGTCCTAAATTATGTCACCATTGCCCTCGATTCTAAGCAATGTTGTGCTGCTATTTTTATTGACTTGGCCAAAGCTTTTGATATGGTAGACCATTCCATTCTTGTGGGCCGGCTAAGGAGTATTGATGTCTCTGAGGGGTCTTTGGCCTGGTTTGCTAACTACCTCTCTCAAAGAGTGTAGTGTATAAAGTCAGAACATCTGCTGTCTCAGCCACTGCCTGTCACCAAGGGAGTACCCCAAGGCTCGATCCTAGGCCCCACACTCTTCTCAATTTACATCAACAACATAGCTCTGGCAGTAGGAAGCTCGCTCATCCATTTATATGCAGATGATACAGTCTTATACTCAGCTGGCCCCTCCCCGGATTTTGTGTTAAACGTTCTACAACAAAGCTTTTTTAGTGTCCAACAAGCTTTCTCTGCCCTTAACCTTGTTCTGAACACCTCCAAAACAAAGGTCATGTGGTTTGGTAAGAAGAATGCCCCTCTCCCCACCAGTGTGATTACTACCTCTGAGGGTTTAGAGCTTGAGGTAGTCACCTCATATAAGTACGTGGGAGTATGGCTAGACATTTTTTACATTTTTTGTCATTTAGCAGACGCTCTTATCCAGAGCGACTTACAGGAGCAATTAGGTTTTAAGTGCCTTGCTCAAGGGCACCGACAGATTTTTCACCTAGTCGGCTCGGGGATTAGAACCAGCGACCTTTCGGTTACTGGCACAACGCTCTTAACCACTAAGCTACCTGCCGCCCTGAGAAGGACGGTACACTGTCCTTCTCTCAGCACATATCAAAGCTGCAGGCTAAGGTTAAATCTAGACTTGGTTTCCTCTATCCGTAATCGCTCCTCTTTCACCCCAGCTGCCAAACTAACCCTGATTCAGATGACCATCCTACTCATGCTAGATTACAGAGACGTAATTTATAGATCGGCAGGTAAGCGTGCTCTTGAGCGGCTAGAGGTTCTTTACCATTCGGCCATCATATTTGCCACCAATGCTCCTTATAGGACACATCGCTGCACTCTATACTCCTCTGTAAACTGGTCATCTCTGTATACCCGTCGCAAGACCCACTGGTTGATGCTTATTTATAAAACCCTCTTAGGCCTCACTCCCCCCTATCTGAGATACAGTTGAAGTCGGAAGTTTACATACACTTTGGTTGGAATCATTAAAACTCGTTTACCAGTTTCATTTAAGGACCAAAAGATTGACAGCCGTCCCATATAGATTGCAAAATAGTTGGGAAGAGATTTTTGACGTACCGACGTATTCTTGCTACCAATAGAATGTTATTTGTATGGGGGATACAATCTTTCCAGCTTGGCAGATTTGGCTGTGAAGAGACAGAATCATTAGATCATTTGTTTTGGTACTGTCCATTTGTAGCTTGTTTCTGGACACAGGTCCAGGAATGGCGGAAGGATTGCAATATTTGCATGGAGCTGACCCTGCAGAAAGCACTACTGGGTGATCTGAAAAGTCATAGTCAATCGATCAATAATATTATAATACTTTTAGCAAAGATGTTTATTTTCAATTCACAAACTGTAGAAACTATGAGAATAGAAAGGTTCAGAACTATTGTAAAACATCACAGTACAGTTGAAAAATATATGGCAAATAGAAATCCAATATGGATGGTGTTAAGAGATAGATGGGAGGTGTTGAATGGAGCTGAAGGATGGGGCTAATAACAACAACTAATACAACAAGTTAACTAGTGTAAGACATGTGTGTCCATAAAAGTATATAGGTTATATATGTGAGCTTTGTGAAAGAGCACAGTTAGAAAGATATGCATATAGAAGCAAACCAGATGGACATCATGAAAATGATCGGAGGAAGTTCAGGAGTAAAAACAAACAAATATAATTATTGACTGTGTCCATAAAATTTATATAGTATGTATAAGCATGAAGTAGAGGCCTAAGCATTGTTGTTCACTAGTTTACTCCAATTAGGGAGGGGATGGTGGGGTTGGAAAGTAATAAAGGGAAATATATATATTTTTAAAGGATATGTATGTATATATGTGAGAAAAAAAAGAAAAAAACATATGGGGGATTGGAAGAGAAGTTACAATCTATCTACAATATTAAAGCTGATCTACCCCCTAAAAAACAAAACAATAGTACGCAAGTATAAACTCCATGGGACCATGCAGCCGTCATACCGCTCAGGAAGGAGACGCATTCTGTCTCCTAGAGATGAACGTACTTTGGTGCAAAAAGTGCAAATCAATCCCAGTACAACAGCAAAGGACCTTGTGAAGATGCTGGAGGAGACAGGTACAAAAGTATCTATATCCACAGTAAAACAAGTCCTATATCGACATAACCTGAAAGGCCGCTCAGCAAGGAAGAAGCCACTGCTCCAAAACCGCCATAAAAAAGCCAGACTACGGTTTGCAACTGCACATGGGGACAAAGATCGTACTTTTTGGAGAAATGTCCTCTGGTCTGATGAAACAAAAATAGAACTGTTTGGCCAAAATGACCATTGTTATGTTTGGAGGAAAAAGGGGGTTGCTTGCAAGCTGAAGAACACCATCCCAACCGTGAAGCACGGGGGTAGCAGCATCATGCTGTGGGGGTGCTTTGCTGCAGGAGGGACTTGTGCACTTCACAAAATAGATGGCATCATGAGGAAGGAAAATTATGTGGATATATTGAAGCAACATCTCAAGACATCAGTCAGGAAGTTAAAGCTGGGTCACAAATGGGTCTTCCAAATGGACAATGACCCCAAGCATGCTTCCAAAGTTGTGGCAAAATGGCTTAAGGACAATAAAGTCAAGGTATTGGAGTGGCCATCACAAAGCCCTGACCTCAATCCTATAGAACATTTGTGGGCAGAACTGAAAAAGCGTGTGCGAGCAAGGAGGCCTACAAACCTGATTCAGTTACACCAGCTCTGTCAGGAGGAATGGGCTAAAATTCACCCAACTTATTGTGGGAAGCTTGTGGAAGGCTACCCGAAATGTTAAGTTAAACAATTTAAAGGCAATGCTACCAAATACTAATTGAGTGTATGTAAACTTATGACCCACTGGGAATGTGATGAAAGAAATAAAAGCTGAAATAAATCCTTCTCTCTACTATTATTCTGACATTTCAGATTCTTAAATAAAGTGGTGATCCTAACTGACCTAAGACAAGGAATCTTTACTAGGATTAAATGTCAGGAATTGTGAAAAACTGAGTTTAAATGTATTTGGCTAAGGTGTATGTAAACTTCCGACTTCAACTGTACCTACTGCAGCCCTCTTCCTCAACATACAACACCCGTTCTGCCAGTCACATTCTGTTAAAGGTCCCCAAAGCACACACATCCCTGGGTCGCTCCTTTTTTCAGTTAACTGCAGCTAGCGACTCGAACAAACTGCAAAAAACACTCAAACTGGACAGTTTTATCTCCATCTCTTCATTCCAAGACTCAATCATGGACACTCTTACTGACAGTGGCTGCTTCACGTGATGTATTTTTGTCTCTACCTTCTTGCCTTTGTGCTGTTGTCTGTGCCCAATAATGTTTGTACCATGTTTTGTGCTGCTACCATGTTGTGCTGCTGCCATGTTGTGTTGTCATGTGTTGCTGCCATGCTATGTTGTTGTCTTAGGTCTCTCTTTATGTAGTGTTGGGGTGTCTCTCGTCTTGATGTGTGTTTTGTCCTATATTTTTATCTTTAATCCCAGCCCCCGTTCCCCGCAGGAGACCTTTTGCCTTTTGATAGGCTGTCATTGTAAATAAGAATTTGTTCTTAACTGACTTGCCTAGTTAAATAGAGGTTCAATTAAATAAAATACATAAAAAAAACCTGGCATAAGCACCAGTTACATGGCTTTTAATCTTCAGCCCATTACGTTTTTCCATTTTCAAATTCTTCCCTTGCTGAGCCTGGCTACCACACAATATTAACAATCTACCATTTCCAATGAACCAAGCTAATTTCACTTCTCCTAACTCTTTATCTACGGAATTAGTTAGTCGGATAGGGTGTAAGTGAGGCCCTGTGGTCTCATCAAACACTATCACCACCTTCCACTCCAACACATCACTACTCTTGCTTTCTACCTTGGCCCTCTTTATGCTTTCTTTACTAGACAATCCACTGCTTTCTGTATCATGATCTCTCTTCTTCATATGTCTTTCCACTGCTGACCATTCCAGCCCTTGACCCTCATCCTCCCGTTCCATACCATCAGAACTGACACCCATATTGTTCGCATTCCAGCACAGCTGTTGCTTCACCAACTTTTTCTCAATTTCATCCATTTCATCCGAACTAGTCGCCGCCATTTCCCATTTCCCATTAACCTCTTACCACATTTCTGCAATAGCGAAACAAGATTCAACGATATCAAACAACTCTCACTTGTGGTCAAACAATCGGTCTCATTAGTTTCTAGTCACCTCCATACACAGTTCAACCGAGAACATGTCTCTCCTCGCTGAAGTCCTTCTTCTTCTTCTT